TAGTGAGGGACGACCAAACGACTGAACAGCAGGCTGCGTGGGACAACCAGGCCAGCAAAGGGGGCAGTTGGGGGCTACCAGGCCAGCAGAGGGGCAATTGGGAGCAACTAGGCTGGCAGGGGGGCAGTTGGGGGTGACCAGGCCACGGGGGGGCAGTAAGGGGCAATAAGGCCAGCAGAGGGGGGTAGTTGGGGGTGAACAGGCTGGCGGTGGGTAGCAGTAAGGAGCGACCAGGCAGGCAGGAGGGGCAGTTGGGAGCAATGAGGCCCGCAGGGGGGCAGTAAGCGGTGACCAGGCCAGTGAGGGGGCAGTTAGGGGCAACCAGGCCAGCTGGCAGAGGCGGTTAGGGCTGATCAGGCTGGCAGTGGGGGTAGTTAGGGGTGATCAGGCAGGCAAGCAGGTGAGCAGTTAGGAGCCAGTGGTCCCGGATTGTGAGAGGTTGCATACTGGGCTGAGGGGGTCCCCCCTCCCCTGTTCACGAATTTTTGCACCGGGCCTCTAGTCCTATATAAGAAAAGGCTAATATGCAAATAGACCAAATGGTAGAAAGACTGGTCGCTATGACGTGCACTGACCACCAGGGGGCAGACACTCAACGCAGGAGCTGCCCCCTGGTTGTCAGTGCGCTCCCACAGGAAGAGCCCTGCTCAGCCAGAAGCCGAGTTCAAGGCTGGCGAGTGAAGTGGCGGTGGCAGGAGCCTCTCCTGCCTCTGTGGCAGTGCTAAGGATGTCTCACTGACGGCTTACACCTGCTCCCAGACTGCGAGAGGGCATAGGCCGGACTGAGGGAACTACCCCCCAGTGCATGAATTTTTTGCACCAGGCCTCTAGTGGTTATATAAGACCCAATTATCTAAGTGAGAATCCTCTAAGTGAGAATTCTTTAGTCTTCTATGTAGTAGTTGCAATTATATTATTATTTGTTTTTTTTTCAATATAACTGAGGAAGGAAAGGATTCACAGATTACTTAAACAATTTAAATTGAATTTATATATGTATAGCCACTCATACAAATTTGGTCGAATGAGAAGTAGACACTAAATGTTTGAAAAGCTCTTACAAATTTAAATTATTAATACGTCTTACCCTAATCCTTCCTAGACTTTTCTTTTAGTAAATATTATGCTCAGAGGTTAGCACATAGGCCAAATTAGGCCAGCCTTTCTTTGTACCGGCCCAGGAGCTAAACAGGGCTATGTTTTTCAAGGGTTGTTTTTTTAAAAAAGAAAAAGATGGGAGGAGAAGAATACTTTATAGAGGCCCATTGTGGCCCACAAAGACTAAAATATTTACTCTCTGGTTCTTTGTAGAAATAGTTTGTCAATCTCGGACCTAGTTTTAATATTTTCATGTCACACAGGCTAGTAGTAACATAGTAGTTAGATTATATACGCCACAGTGTACCTGACACTGAACCCTTACAGATGTTGCCATACACACATGCCATTTCTTAGTGTCTCATTTAATATCTAGTGGCCAGGTGCACGAAATTCATGCACATTAAAAGGGAATTAATTAGAGGAAATATTTTAATATTGCTATTTTCCCTTTCTCTATAATAGAAGTGTCAGAGATGAAAGAAAATTAGTAAAATGTATATGAAAATAATATATAAATCCTATATAATAAAAGAAAAACATGCAAATTAACCATCCCTCTGCTACGCTCAAGCCACGCACACAAGCCACACCCACTAGCCAATCAGGAGCGAGTATGCAAAGTAACCCAACTAAGATGGCGGTGGCCACGGAGCTGGAGCAAGCAGGAGGCTTGGGTTGCCCCCGGCAATGGAGGAAGCCAAGCTTCCTGCCTCCCCTGTCTGACCCTCGGCTCTGCTCAAGGCTACAAAGTTTCAATTATAGAAGATAAGTAAATCCCAGATACCTGCTTCCAGTGGCGCTGAAAAAAAGAAAAGAAAAAAAGGAGAGGCTGGGAGTTTGGGTCACTGGGGGGCATGGCCAGCCTGAAAACGGCTCTCAGCCCCTCACCCAGGCTGTCCAGGCACCCCAGCGGGACCCCCACCCTGATCCAAGACACCCTTCATGGCAAACCAACCGGCCCCCACCCGTGCACCAGGCCTCTATCCTATATAATAAAAGGGTAATATGCAAATTGACCCTAACAGCAGAAAGACTGGGAATGACTGGTCACTATGACACACACTGACCACCAGGGGGCAGACACTCAATGCAGGAACTGCCCCCTGGTGGTCAGTGCACTCCCACAGAGGGAGCTCTGCTCAGCCACAAGCCAGGCTGACGGCTGTCAGCACAGTGGTGGTGGTGGGAGCTTCTCCCGCCTCCTCAGCAGCGCTAAAGATGTCTGACTGCAGCTTAGGCCTGCTCCCTGCTGGCAAGTGGACATCCCCCGAGGGCTGCCGGGCTGCCAGAGGGTTGTCTGACTGCCAGCTTAGGCCCTATGCCCCGTGGAGCGGGCCTAAGCCAGCAGGTAGACATCCCCCGAGGGGTCCCAGACTGCGAGAGGGCACAGGCCGGGCTGAGGGACCCCCCGAGTGTACAAATTTTTGTGCCCCAGGCCTCTAGTTTAGTAATAAATAAACAATAACATCATCACGTCCTCGGCCGGCACCGGGCAGGGGACGCAGCCTCAAGTCCCCCAGCCTCGCCGCACACGCAGCCCCACCCAGCTGTGCCTGCCACGCACGCAGCTTCCTGCTGATCGGTTGTTACGGCGTGAAGGTGTCACAACCATTTGCATATTATCCTTTTATTAGCGTAGATGGCATTATATAAATACATGAACAAATATGATAATGTTGATTGAATTTTGCCTATCTGATGTCTACAATTTACTAGAAAGTTAAAATAATTTTAGTGAATCAATTGGCAGTCTTTCTATAACTCTGATTTTTCTTTGAATAGAACTTTTATATACATACTTTTTTTTGTTTCTCAAATATAAATTTATGGCATTCAATTGCTTCAAGTTTCAATAAATTAGAAACAAAACAAACCTCTGATCATTTAGCAAGTTGCTTATTGAGTTATACTATTTAAAAATGTTTTTAGAGAAAATTAAAGGTCAAATGAACCAAACATTGGGATTTTTGGTTTAATTTTCTGGAAAATAGGATAGCCTTTATCAGGTCCCTGTGTCTCTCCGTCCTCATGCTTGGCTGACAGCTTGACAGTGGCTCTGCAGTGGTGGACTTGGTTGTCAGGAAGCTGCTTTGTCAGCAGAGAGGACCTGTATGCTGAGCTGGGGGGTGGGGGGAAGCTAGGCTCACCTTGTCTTGACCTGCTGATCAGTGATGAGTTTTGTTAGCAACAGAAAATGTGGCTGAATGATTTCCTTTAATGCTAATTTTGATGTAGAAAGTAGCATTTGAAGCAGGGCTACTATAAGGTGTCATGTCTCATTGCTGTGGACAAACCCCATGCATTGCCTACTGAGTGAAATGCAAGAAGTGCCAACTGGATGGTCAGAAAATTACAGCAACATTTAAATAAACAGTGTGAGCAGATTTGCTTGTATCGAACATGGAAGTATTTCTAGTTTAACTCTCTAATATTTGGACATTTTTATCTCCTTAAGTGTTTAAAAGAAATACACTGTTTTTTCTTTTATTTTGCTTAGACAGACTTTTTCTTCCCAGAATTCTGCCACCCATGACTGGCAGGGTTGAAGCAGAACCAGTAAGTTCCTTTAGGAAAGAGTTGGAGAATAGCTGACATAAGAGTGATGTTAAGTTCAGTGTATTTATTGGCTGTGAAGTCTGTGGAGTTACACATCGTGCATTTGAGTTTTTGCTAGAGTAAATTATGCGAAAGAATAAAATTTTAGGTGTTTTAGCAGCTATTATTTTTGAGAGAGGTCATTTTATTTGCAACTGAATTCAATTCGCAACTGACATAATAAATATTATTTTCATTTTAAAGATGTGAAAATAGAGACTTAGATAGTTGATGCTGTTTAGATAGGTGATTTTTTTTTGTTCTGGGATCAGACTTCTTAAGTTCAAATTTTGGGATTGGCTTTGAGACTTTGGCCAAGTTATTTATTTTCACTGAGCCATCTGTGAAATAGAAGTAATAGTACAACATGCATCATTGACCTCTTACGAGAGCAGTATGCATTAGAAATATCATAGGGCTTAACTTATGGTCATAGTTCAATTAATGTTTATTATTTTTATTATGTCACAATTTTGAATTTGAGATTGTATTTGGTCATTTTGTTTTGAAAATTTCCTAAGTGCTTCACCTAAGCTTGATTTGCTCTGTTTGAAACCTCCCCTTTTCAATAGGCTAAACAGTTTTAAAATATAAGTGATTTCCTGATAATCTTTATAAGAATTCTGTATACATGTATGAATATTGGCGAAAAACTCCAGTGTACTTTCTACATCCACAAATTGATGTTTTGGTAGATGTCACTAGATATTTCTTTGGAACTTCCAGTGAAATAATTATAGTATGAATAGTACATGAATAATATGTATTTTACCATGTTATGTCCCAAGACTGAAATTAAATATTTTTAGCGTGATATAATTCAAATAGTAATATTTCTAATTGCAGGGATTTTTTGCGTTTTATTTATGAGAAATCATAATTTGAAAGCAAGCCAGTATACTTCTAAGTACATAAAATTTGCCATAAAAGAGATCACTATAAAAATAGCATGCAGATGATGAACCGAGAAATACGTATAACTTTCCTATGACCAAATATCAAAGATATTATTTACTTAAGTCTTACTTTTCTTTTGTAATTAAACTGTTGTTACCACTCAACATTCAGGATCACATGATTTTGTGTATAATGTACTATTTTAATAGCATGAAACTATGAATAATTTAGACTGGTGTCTCTTAGTTACTCTGCTGAGTTTATGCAGAGTTTTTGCACATTTGTGCTTCTTTCCATCAGTGAAAATAGTATGACCATTTTGAAAAGCTGTTTATAAATGTCATTTCAATGTAATGTATTCCCATCCATTTAAATAGCCTAAATTTTAACTAGACATTTTGTTGTAGCCATCCATCAAAAACTAGAAGCGGATGGAACGGAAAAAGTAGAAGGATCCATGACGCAAAAACTGGAGAATGTTCTAAACAGTAAGTTTTGTTCTACTACCCAAAACTATTTATGGACTTTATAACAAGCTTTAATATAGTTCTTGGATTTGGTTTCACAGAACAAGGCAATAAGTTGCATTTTAGTACTTATTTCTAAATAATCATGATTTAATGAACATAAAGGGGAATAAAAACATTGAAAATGAATATCCTGGGTGGGTTTTTTTTGCATTTTATTTATGAGAAATTATAATTTGAAAACAAGCCAATATACTTCTTAATAAGTAAAATTTGCCAACATAAAAGAGATGACTATAAAAATAGCATCTTGAATTAAAGACAGAAAAGCACTGACTCAATAGCCAGGATTCTTATTGATCAAAAACCTGAAAAAGCATCTTCAAGTATCTACCATTGTTAATGCAAATAATACCAGCTACTAGAATAATAGATGCTATATGTCATTTATTTATACCTGACCTTTTTCCACAACAAATTTAAGGCAACTGCATAATTAAGAGTGTTTCTAACTGAGACATTTTGTAAAAATTGTAAGCCAGGAGAAACTGACACATGCGGAATTTGGAGATCTATCCACCTCCCTTTATGTCTTTTTTTCTGATATGCTAGCTCCCAGGTACTTACAATACTGATTTGGAAGAAACTCATCAGATGAATCAATTCCTATTTTAATATTGGTGACTTAAAAATAAATTATACTCTTTCATGCATATGGTAAACATTTGACAAGGAGCAGTAATGTCCAAAGGAATCTCCTTGTTTGTTAAAATAAGTATAGCCTATGATTTTCCCATAATAGGGTTAAGAGTAACTAAAGAAATTAAGAACCATCTCATCAAATTTTTAGTGATTCTATGAATGCAGAACTATGATATCAAGTTAGTTTTTGCACTTCTAGTTTAATTTATTTCCATGAGCACAGTTTACTGAGATATTTTTTTAAATATCTGTTCATAAATCTGTGGATCTCTGATAAGAAAGTATTTTCTTCCTTCTAGACATAGAAATGTGTCATTCCTAATTTGACATAGGCTTTCATTGGTAGTAGAATTTGAGTACTTAGATTTCCTCCTATATTTATGAGTTTAATGGGGCTTTAAATATTTTTCCCTCTGGTTGTTGTTATTATTATTTTGCCTTGAGATTTTGCCTTGTTTTTGTCTGGGAACCATGTCACCAACTTGGCTGAAATGAATATATTCTGAATTTAATCCAAATAAACATTTACTAGAGCTGTTTCTATATTAGCATAGTTAGACATATTAAGGTCATGGAAGAACGTTGTTTTCACTATAGAAATTGTCAATGAACCATGATACCTGTAAAGAAAGTGAGATTTATTTCATTAGCTTTTCGAAGGTGATTTGTAGGGACAAGCTGACATAGTAAGTATATCATTGTTATCAGTAAAAGAAAATAGACACTTATAAGATTTTGAAAAAATTAAGATCCGTTTTAAGTGTTAGGTTTAGCATAGTGTGTTAGCATATATATTTTTTTTCTTTTAAGGAGTAGTTTAGGAAATTCTCCCTTCGGACTTGTGTAAAATTTGTAAGGGAAATCATTTTACTTCTATTCCTTTATAACCACAAACCTTTTTTAGAAATGTGTCATACTAACTTTCTACTGAAGTTTGTTCTTTTTGAATGAAGTTCTGCTTAGCATAAATGGTTACTTCTTTATGAGACTCTCTTTCAAGACTTCCTGGTATAAATTTTTTCTTAAAGTATATTCTTTATAATAGTACCTTTTTTCCAGAATCATTTTTATCAACTTGATGTTGATGTTTACTATCTTCTGATATAGTTTTGCTAATTCAATTTAACCAGCATTTATTTAAGACTGGTTGTGTAGACATAACCCTGCTCAGTCCAGTGTGGGGTGCACAGCTGAAAGAGGCATGGCTCCAGCCTTGCAAACATGTTCTCCGTCTAGAGAGGTATGCCATAGTTACCCAAGACTTCAAAAGCTATGCAACTGGGGGATCAAAAGAACAATTATAGAACTACTACAGAAAATTTAGTTTCTTTTCTTTGGAAAGGAAGGAAGGATTGATGAGTATGACCGTAGTGTAGTTTACTTAGATTATTATTAATGCTTTAATTTTGTGTATAATCATATATTAATCAATATGCATTTTTCTTGAGTTACTTTAAATGAAAGTTTTAAAAATTTGGGCAACTTTTCTCACTATAAATTAATTTTTAATGTATAATGTTAACTATAAGAAACTTAGTCCATTTTATTAAGAATTTACCAGTGCTGAAGCCTTTCATTGAAATTCTTTTATTTTCACTGACATGTGTTTCACAGATTTGCCTTTAACTTAAAAATTTTCTCTTGATTTCAAGCAAGTGATGAAGTGATGACTATTATTTATATCAAATTTGCATATCCAGTTCTATTTTTTTTTTTTTTACCTATTCCTCGAGTATAGAATAGGACTGTCCTATAGAACTTCTGTAAAGATGGAAATGTAGCTGTTGAGGATTTAAAATGTAGCTAGTATTACTGAGGAGTTTTAATTTTTATTTAACTTTAATTAATTTAAATTGGAATAGCCCCATGTGCCTAGTAGCTAGCTTATTGGACAATGGGAGTATAAACAATGTCATATAAGTATTTGTAGTAGAAGCTATGGTAGTAATAGCTAAAACATTTGCAGTGTTCGGAAACATTCTCTGTATATTTAGTCCTCATAATAACTCTGAGGTTTGTACTATTATCTCCTTTTTAGTGATGAAAAAAAACTGAAACCCAGAAAGATCAAATGAGTTACCTAATGTCATATAAGTAGTAAGTGGTAGAGTTGAGATTTATGTCTAGAAATCTGGCTCCAAATTTATACTTTAAACTACTGATTGACCTTGCTGTGCATGGTTTTGATACGCATGAATTGCTTGAATTTCAGTTACCACAGTCCAATTAAATACACCTGTTCCCCCAAAACACAGTTCAAATTTCAGTTACCACAATATATTTGCTATAATTGCATAAAGTACAAACTCAGTTGCTAGCTCTTCAAATGTGCAAGTGATCAGTGACCAATTTGTCTCTTCCAAGTCCATCGGTGACTGGTCACCTGTACATGTGTTGTCAGTTCACATACAGATAGCAAAGTGGGCAGTTGTGTGGCCTCCTTGACTCCCAGAGATAAACTCACATTTTACTGAAATGGATATTAAAAGAGGGGGTTGGCTCACAAAGATGATGATGTTTCACAGGAAGCAATGCCTAAGGAACACTCAGAGATAATCTGTGGCATTGAAAGCACAAAGGATAAACTTAGAAAGGAGTATGACAGTTTGTCAGTGCATAGAAAAGGTGCTTGATACATGCAAATTTTACGATAAAAAACGAGATGAGAAAGGCAGCATTCAGTTTCAGCTGCACAGTCATTTGTGCGGGACTGCACACCATACAGAGTAAGGCTTCTACTGGCCAGTACCATCTCTCTAAGTAGAAAGAGTATTGAGCACTGATTCAGAGGCAGATTTTTAGTCCTTTCTCTATAAGCATTTATTGAGCACCTGTTAGTTCTATCCCAGGAATATGAAGATTAAACTTAGGCTTTACTTCTCAGACTGTATAGTCTAGTGGAAAATACAGTCAAAAATCAGGTGAATAGATTGTGGTGCGATCATCCTCTGCTGGTGGTAATCCTGGGGTACATCTGGAGTCTTCACAAGGGAGACCTAATTGAAAAGTGGAGTGGGGAGAATATCAGGGGAGGGTCACATGAGTTTTAAAAAAGGATTTGGAAGTAGCCAGGCCAGAAGAGGTTGGTGGGTGGGCAGCTAAGTGGATGCAGGTTGTCCCAGGCAGAGCAAACAGTGTGACGAAGGCACCGGTTTCAAAAAGGAGATGGACTGCATTCCTAGACCCAGGATCCAGCATGGCTGGTGTGCAGAAGTGAGAGGTGAGGGTGCCAGATGGAAGAGTGTTTGCTCATGAGAAGCTTTCTACTGGGTTTGGGATTTGTCTTTATCCTGAACACTGAGCTATTGAAGGATTTTCAGTAAGGGAATGCTGTTAGAACTTTTTCAAAGAACATAGTGCCCTTCGTATAGACAAAGGATTAGAAGGGAGCTAGACTAAGAGAAGCCCAGGTAGTAGGTACAGTTGTAAGAGTGAAGTGCTGAGGATTCTTAATTAAGGCAGAGGTGATGAAGGTAGAGTGAATGGCAGGTGAGAGATGTTAACGATAGGAGAAAGGCAGCATTCAGTCACTGTTTGAGGTGAAAAGAAGAAAAAGGAAGTAGTCAGTGATGAATTTCTGATATTTGGCCACAAATGGAGGAAGAAGGAGCAGGTTTGGGGCATGAGGAGAAAAGTAGAGAGGAAAAAATTCAGTTTGATTTATAACATGTTGAGTTTGAGACTCCTGAGGGTTGTACCCAATAATATCTTTTTCTCTCTCAGTACCTCCTAGCTATGTCACAATGAGCAAGTTGAAGAACCTCTCGGTGTTTTCAGTTGCCTGCACTATAAAATAGGGATAAATATAGTGCTTATCTTACAGGGACATGAGTAAATTTAAATGTATTGCAATTAATATATGTTTTCAGAATAAGAATTTAGAATAATTAATATAAACTTTTAAGACAAGCACCTAGCATAGAGTAAGTGCTAGATATTACATGTGTAGTATATGTTTATCCACCCACAAAGGCTTCTCCAAACTCCCTTTAGGTTATAAAGGACCCATAGATGCTAAAGTGTTTTTTTCTCCCTCCATGAGATCTTCATTTTTTTCCATTCCACTTCCTTAGCTCTTCCCAAAGACAGTTAAACTAAGGGGGTAAGAGTTGATTGTCCACCCAGTAATCTTTTCTCCACTGTCCTCTATGATGAAGCCTGACCAACCATCTGCCTAGACTCAGGGTCCTATTCCTGTGCTCCAAGCCCCCTAAAACTGATGTGCTTCTGATATTGTCCTCAGCTCTGCTGTCAGGGTTCATTCAAAGGGAAATCTTCAGGGACTAAGTTGGTCCCATAGGGTGTCACAAGAAATGCTCTCATAGTTTCCCTTTAAATCAGTGAGGGCTGAATGATTGAACTGTCTCCCCCAGGAAAACAGGTATTCATCTTTGGAATTGCTCAGAATAAAGGACTTCTTTGTGATGGGCGAATTCATAAAAAAAATTATTGTATGTGTAGTTAAAATATGTGTAAAAGTTAGTTTTACACTAACAGACGTAACGTAAGATATAGATTTGGGACTCAGCAGTGTAGAGATGGTAGTTCAATGAACAGGACTGAATAATTTCATCCTAAATACTATGTGTAAAATTAATAGAAGAAAGCTAAGGACTTGAAACACTGAGGAATATCAGAGTAAAGTTTGTGAATAAGGAACTGATTTTTACTTGTTATAATGGTAATTGTTTAACAACTGGCATGCCAAAAAGGAAAAAGAAAACTAACCCTAATATTAGCATTTCCAATGTGCAAATTTTCCCATCATGTTTGATTTCAAGCTACCAACGTGACATTACTGAATGGGAGTTGAAAAGAGATGGGTAGTATGAGCCAGCGTCCCCTCTTTAAGATTCCATTCTGTGTACTTCATGTGGTGCTATATAATTCCAGTATCCGAAATGGCTCTGTAAACAAGCATTAACCATTGGCAATGATACTATTCATGTAATATCATTATGTTATACATGACAGCCTGTCTTACCATTTTTTGCTGTCTGTTTACAGAAACTGAGACACATACAATAAATATGTTGTTATGTCTCATTGTGGTCCTTGTTTTACTATGAATTTAAGTCTACATTTTTAAGTTACCTTAAATTACCAGATACTTTAATGTTTCCTAATCTCATTTAACTTGCCTAATCCTGGTATATATTGCGCGTGTGTGTGTGTGTGTGTGTGTGTGTGTGTGTTTGTGTGTTTTGTGGGTAGGGCACTTTTTGCATCCTCCCCACAATCCCCTCAACTCACGTCAAGCAGAGACCACAGGTTAAAAATCACTTCTGTGATATACTGTCTCAGGTGTCAGTGCCGTGAAAAGGACCAATAAGTCACTTCAAAATAAGAGAAAGCATATTTGCTTTAAACAGACATGCTTGAAATTGTAGGACAGCATTAGAATTACATGACTAGTTTTTCTATATCATAGTAGTTCCTGGCACAAAGAAAATTTTGTTTTGTTTTGTTTTTTTTCATTGTTAAAGATATAGGTGAATGGGAAGGAATTAGTTTGATTGGTTAGCGTGAAGTGCTGCAGTGACTTTTCTTCCCATCTTTTCCCCCAGCTTTATTGAACTGCAATTGACATGTAATATTGTATACAACATGCTGATTTGCTATACTTTTATATTGCAGTATGATTACTGCCTTAGCTTTAGCTAGCACCTCCATCATGTCACAGAATTCTGTTTCTTTTTTTTTGTGGTGAGAACATTTGAGATTTACTCATAGCAACTTTCAAGGATATAATACAATATTATTAACTAGATCCCCAGAACGTATTCATTTTCTTACTGGAAGTTTGTACTTTGATCAACATTTCTCCATTTCCCCTGCCCCCTAACCCTCAGCCCCTGGTAACCACCATTCTCCTCTCTGTTTCTATGAGTTCACCTATTTTAGAGTCTATTTTTAAGTTATACCATGAAGTATTTGTCTTTCTCTATATCTGACTTTAGTTCACTCTCATAATGTCTTGAAAGTCCATCCATGTTGTCCCATCTTACATTGAAGAAAATTTTATTGTTCAGTCAGCCCACTATAATGGTGGCAGCCACAGTGTTATTATAGCAGCATTGCTGTTAGTTCTCGGGGTACATTTGTAACTGAGACAATGACAGCCACTCTCCAGGTAGCTTATGTTGAGAAAGGACCAATTTCCAGGTCTAGACTTGCCCAGGGCTGGTAGAATTAGATTTGTTCTATGGTTACACCCTGGATGTTCAAACCCCTGCCAGGTGCCTTAAAAGTTGGATGTATAGGTGAGGGTGTGTAGGATTGCTACCTCGGGGGATTGTTCTAAGATGGCTGACTAATTGGCTTATTTGTGGTGTCATTTGCGTGTGGACACTGCTGGGTTTAGTAGTTTCATTTTCTTTATTTTAAAAAAATGTCAATGTATTGAGGTAACATAGCTATATATAAAAGGCTAGTATGCAAAGTGTCCCCTGGAGAGTTCAACCATGAGACCAGAGTTCAATCGCTCGCTGTGATGTGTGCTGACCAGCAGGGGGCAGTGTGGAACATAGTGGGCGACTAGTGGCGGCTGCGGAGGGCTGAGGGAAGGAGGAGGTAGGGAGGCAGGGAGGCAGGGAACCTGATTGGCCCTGATCGCCAGCCAGGCCTAGGGACCTTACCCATGCATAAATTCCATGCACTAGGCCTCTAGTTGATTAATAACATTATGTAAATTTCAGGTGTACAACTTTATAATGCAACATTGTGTGTTTCCCATCCAGTTTCATTTTCTTAGTGGCTCTAGAGAACGAGACATAAAATGCATTTTGTGAACTGCTGGTAATTTTTATCAGGTTGTACAAATCTCGGTTTCACTGCTCTCATTTATTTTATTACTAGATATGATTGTCCAGTTATCAAAGAATTATGAACTCCCAATATTTTATTGTGAGTGCAGTAAAATTCATAACAGAATAAAAATTCATGGATGGAAATTATCTATAAATTAAGATTATAATTCACAATTTCTTTGTGTGCATAAATTAAAATTCTTCATATATATATATATACATTTCTGTATAGAAATTATAATTTACAATTTCTGCCTACAAATTTTTCTCTATAAAATGTTTATATTTTATTTAATTATTAGTGGATTTTCTACCTGTACTTGTTTTTCATGCTTTTTAGAGGAGTTAAAATTGTTAGTTTGTATCTTTTAATATCTTTAAAATAAGATGAGAAAAATCTAATTTTGAACTCTCATACTTTTTGCTGTAAATTTCTTCATTGTATATTAAAAAAGTGCTTAGGGATTTAGTATCCACAGCTCACATATAGGTAATCAACCTTTTAAAACTATTTAATCTCTTTCACATATCTATTCATTTAGCCTCAATTCATGAAGTTTATATTTTTATATGATAAATAATAATTTTCATTGAAGGAAAAAGTTTTAACTCTAATCAGATTTGGAATGTTCTTTTAGCCACCAGCATGTGGTTTGGTGGCAAGAAGAGAGTATGTTTTCCTCATCGTAAGCAGAAATTTAGTATTGGACATTAAATAGAATGTGATGAAAGCAGCTATTTTGACAAAACAAAGTTTTTATATTAGGCTTTTATAATTTCAACAGAATTTAAACAATATTTAGATAAAACAATTATGTTACAAAGATGACTAACAGGATCAGCCCACCCACAGTGTGGAGTGGAGAATGTGGCATGCAAGCCACCCAGTGAGGCTGAGGTAATTTTTTCATCTTGCTTAAAGTATAGTCACTAGACCAGATAATGTAGAAACTTTTTATGTGCAATGATCAAACAGCTGAAAACACTTTATTCTTTTTCTCCCCTTGTGGCTAATTAAAAATAATTCATAAGTTGAAAAAGCTTAACTATTTTTGAACACAGTAAATTTCACTTTAGATAAAGCAACTCTTTCATTACAGTGATTCATATAGTTTGAGGTCTTTTAGGTTAGTTTGTGTATAATATAAGAATTAGCTGATTTAAGAAATATTGATTAAGGATATGTTAAAATTTGTCATTTTAATGTTTATGTAATTTTTTGTGCCTGCTATACAAAGAGGTAATTTTAGCAAGAAATAGGATTGGTTCTGAAATATTTCTTTTGAACACTTTTCTGTAAAATACTTTTCTTGTTTTGTGTATTACCACATATGTAGATATTGATTCCATGGAACTTAACTAGTGTACGTGAGTGTGCACATGTATATATGTGTGTGTTTTAACCTATTGTCTGAATTAATGAAGTATCCAACTGGCCTATAATTGCTATAAAATTTAGAAGAGTGACTAAAATAAAATATAGGTTCACATTGAAGAATTTATGTGAGCCTGGTAAATATGCTTATTTTTAATTGGATACCATTGTTAACATAAGAAAAGACTTAGTAGGCAAAATGGAAATTGTATTTTAGCAAACCATGAAAGATCTCCCTTATAGCTAATGTTTGAAAAAAAGTCTATTGAGTTTTAGTGTAAAGCTTCAATAACAATCTGACATTTTATTTCATTTGTCCAGTTATACTTTTCTAAATAAAATCAATTTTTATCTAAGTTTGAATTTTTTCTTTTAAAATAGGAGCAAGTAATACTGCAGATACATTATTTCAAGAAGTATTAGGTCGAAAGGACAAGGCAGATTCCACTAGAAATGCACTCAATGTCCTCCAGCGATTTAAATTTCTTTTCAACCTTCCTCTAAATATTGAAAGGAATATTCAAAAGGTAGAGTATGTATTTATATACTGATGGTTATAGATATCATAAATTTTAAAGTGTTGTTAAGATGTTTTTTATCTTAACCATATGTCTTCATTGTACTTTGCTGACAGTCTCCAAAATATTTTTTTTTATTTTAAAGGGTGATTATGATGTGGTTATTAATGACTATGAAAAGGCCAAGTCACTCTTTGGAAAAACAGAGGTGCAAGTTTTCAAGAAATGTAAGGCTTGTTATTGCTTTTAGATCTTCTCCTTTCCTTTCACAGAAAGAATGTGGGATGTATTCTACAAAGAATGTTACATCCTTTTTAGTTTTTATTGATATGGTGATCTTTTTAAATGTAAAACTATTACCTCAAAAATAACATATGGCTTTTCTTACTAAGATGTAGTGAAAATGAGCAACCACAGCTATAGGATTGGTTAGACTTAGATGTTCTTTGCTACTTATTGACCATCATTATATTATTACTAGAGGCCCGGTGCACAAAAATTTGTGCACTCGGGGGGGAAGGGGGGGTCCCTCAGCCCGGCCTGTGCCCTCTCGCAGTCTAGGACCCCTCGGGAGATAACGACCTGCTGGCTTAGGCCTGCTCCTGGGTGGCAGAGGGCAGGCCCAATCCCTAGGTGCAGCCCCTGGTCGGGCTCAGAGCAGGGCTGATTGGGGAGTTGGGGCGCCGCCTCTGTCATGCACAGAGCAGGGCGGATTGGGAGTTTGTGATGCCACCCTCAGTCACGCTCAGGGTAGGGCTGATTGGGGGGTTGGGGCACCACCCCCTATCACACTCAAGGCAGGGTCAATGGGGAGGTTGCGGAGCCACCCCCTGTGATGCACAGAGCAGGGCCAATCAGGGGGTTGGGGCGCTGCTCCTTGTCACTCACAGAGCAGGGCCCATCGGGGTGGGGAGCTCCTCTCTGTCACGCACAGAGTAGGGCTGATAGGGGGAGTAGGGCACCGCCCCCTCACACACAGAGAAGGGCCCGTGGGGGGGGGGGGGGTTGGGGCGCCACCCCGTCACACACAGACCCCAGGGCGATCAGGGGTTTGGCGCTGCACCTGTCATGCTGATCTGGTGCCAGGAGACTCGCGGCTCGCTGATCCCGGTGCTGGGAGGCATATTACGCTTTTACTATATAGGATAGAGGCCTGGGGGCCGGCTGGTTTGCCCTGAAGGGTGTCCTGGATCAGGGTGGGGGTCCCCACTGGGGTGCCTGGCCAGGCTGGCTGAGGGGATGATGGCTGTTTGCAGCTGGTCACACACCCTTCAGGGTGGGGGTCCCCACTGGGGTGCCTGACCAGTCTGGGTGAGGGATGAGGGCTGCTTTCAGGCTGGTGGTTGTTGACCGAAGCTCCCAACCACTCCTTTTTTTCTTTTTTTTTTTCTTCTGGGCCAGCTTTAGCTCTGGCTCTAGCTCTGAGGCTTCCGCTGCTGGTTTGTTTGCCGTTCTATAATCGAAACAATGTATAACTTCAGCTCTGAGATCCCAGCCGGCTATATTTGTTAGAATGTTTCAAACTGCCAGCTCAGAGGCTGGCAAGTCAGGCAGGGAACGTTGGAGTCTGCAGTCCCTGAAGCAAGCAAGCCTCACGTTCGCTTCCAGCTGCCTGGCTGCCGGCTGCCATCTTGGCTGACAGTTAATTTGCATAAGGATATGCTGATTAGCCAATGGGAAGGGTAGCGGTCGTACGCCAATTACCATTTTTCTCTTTTATTAGTGTAGATTTTTCATTGGAAAGAGTCAATTATAGATATTTTTTAGAAATGGGAACCTACATTTTAATCTTCCCTCTTCAGAAAGAGCGATGTATTTCTGAATTCTAACCCTACATTAAAGTAAACAAAACAACTTTTGAAATGATGTCTAATGCCAGGTACAGAAAATAAAACAATAAGAAAAGCCTAAAATACCCTATGGCAATGCCTTATCAACTAGGAGAAATATCACAGGGCTTTATTAACTTTGTAAATCCCAACTCCATAAGGACTCAGAAAACTTGATTTTATTTTTCTTATAGTTAATTTATATTAAGTTAAATGCACAGACAAATGCACACACCGCTGTAACCCACACCCCAGATAGAATGTTCTCATCTCTCCAGAATGTTCCCTTGAGCTCTTCTCAATTCACCATTATAACCCTCAAGGCAGCCACTGTTCTACTGTCTGTAATGTGATCTTAAGTTTCCATCCTGTAAATCTTGTATATTTGTACCTTTTTAAAAATAGATTATGCTGAAGTAGAAACACGGATTGAAGCTTTAAGAGAATTACTTCTGGACAAATTGCTTGAGACACCATCGACCTTACATGACCAGAAACGTTATATAAGGTAAAATTTTTGCAAGGATTTTCACAAATCACATATATCTGTATAGTACTGGATATGTCATCTAACTCTTAAAGCTAGTTTGGGGAAAATTAGGAGATTGATGAAATAATCAAAGGGAAAACACTTAGAAGTACCTACTGCAGAACACCAAAACTCTTTTTTATACTAATATATTTGCAAGTGCTCACTCTTTAAGGGCAAGAAAATTCTTCCTATGTATTTGGGGAAAGAAAAAGTAGCCTCATTGCTTAGTCACCTCTTCCTCCTGCTCAACAAGGGCTTACCTAATCTAGCAGAATGGTTGTACCAGGTGGGCACCCACAGGCCACAGGCAGGAGGAGCTCCCTGTATTAGGAAATTCTCCATACTACAAGAGTGGGCCATAGTTCAGCAGTAAAGAAAATTCTGAAAGGTTTTAGTGTTGAAAAGAAAGTCTGGAACTTAAAAAAAAAAGTAGCAGTAATATTGAAAATGATGGACATCACAGGGTATGACAAGGCCATAGAAAGAAGCAGTGTAGCTAATGGGAACTAGCTGTTCACTTTGGGTAACTTGAGTTTTCTTTATCATGGACATGTTAACACATCTTTGAAATGGACATGTTAACACAATCTATGTCTTAGTTGCAAAGATAATCAAGAATACATTTAAGAATTTAATATAGCACCAGGCACATAATACGTAGTCAATAAATGGTGTGTGTGTGTTTGTATGTCATATATATATATATATATATATATATATATATATATATATATATGGTGTTTATATCAGGATTTGGAGACAAAGCATATAAATTTAATCTGTTATATCCATAATTTAAAACTATAACTTTATTTTCTGCTATCATATTTTGAATGTGACCTTTGTTCTCAGAATAAGCTATTATTTTTCAAACCAAATACCCTCTCTCTCAGTGAAGTTTATTGAATATTAGGTAGTTATAAAGTGATTATAGACTACATATTTTTATGCATTTGGCTGTTGTTAGTATGTGACCATTGAAAATAATTCCCAGGTCTGGAAAGATGGTCTGGTCTGAAAGCTGCTGCTTTGTTTTCACTTGTGGAGGTACAAGGGTCCACATGCAGTCCTCCTTGTTTCTAGTGATGCAGGAGCACAGTAGGAGTATGAGCCATTGTCATAGTCAGCATTGGTGTTGCCCAACAGGAAAGGGAAAGGAGACTTTTTGGAGTAGAGAATACTAAAATTGATTTCTGCCACTACCCCTCATCTGCAGTGTGCCCAGGCACCATGCTAGATGCGCTGTTTATCATTTCTAATCCTCCCAGCCACCACATTGGGGCATGTGTATTATACCTGGTATACTGGTTAGGAGACTGAGCTTCAGATAGTTTTTTTAATCTTCACCCGAGGATATGTCTGTTTTGTTTTGTTTTGTTTTTAATTGATTCTAGAGGGAGGAAGAGAGGGAGAGAGGAGAGGGAAAGGGGGGCGGGGAGCGAGAGAGAGAAACATTGATGTGAGAGAAACATCCATTAGTTGCCTCCCATATGCTTCCAACTGAGGATGGAACCCACAACCTAGATATGTTCCCCGACCAGGAATCAAACCCAAAGCCTTTTGGTGTATGGGACAACACTCCAACCAACTGAGCCACCCAGCCAGGGCACCTCAGATTTTATTGCTTTTTCAGCACACATGGCTAGTACTAGGACTCCTATATGTCTGCTTTCAGAGCCTATCTTTGCTTTTCTCTAGGCTATCTTCATAAGAAATAATGTATTTGGAAATTTTTTGGCTTGTAGAAATAAACTACACATCAGTTATCTAGGTACTTTTTTTTTAAAAAACCACATATAAAGAAACAGAGTTGTAGGAATGTTAATTGTCTTGTCCAGGATACAGTTGGTTAGTGTTTTGTCTGTGTTCTTTAATTATGCTTTGTATTTATTTTATTGTTGACATTTATTCTATTAAATTTGCTGATAGTGATGTGTTAAACGTATTGAGTATGATTTCTTTAGTGAATTACTATATATAGATAACTAACAGTTCTTATGACTGGTTAACCTATTGGATAGCATTTAAAAGATGGTAGATATTTTTTAAAAAGATTCTTTTAAATGGTCTATTTAAATGCTTTCAACCTGTTACTTTAAAGGATAAAGAACAAGAATGTCAATAACAATGTCCAGTAGTTTGTTTATTTTTTAATCACTATTTTATTTTTGATGTTTTGAGAACACATTGAGCATAGAACTGCTATTATTCTTTTTAATAATAACAAGATTCAGGTCAGATATCTGTTGGACTTTGGAATCTATGATGACAGGTACTATGAGTACCTCATGGGGTAGAGACAGCTTCATCAACAAAAATACATCTCTATTGGCTTTAATAATTGAAGTTATGCATGGTATGCATGATATGAGTGAAAATCAGATTATTACTGTATTGTCTTTTGTTTTCTATTTTATCTAATTAAAATAGATTTTTACTCATTATTTTTACTCTTCTTATTCTGTCTTGATCTTCATTTTTTTAGCAAGAAGGAAAGTTGCATATACTTTTTCCCATGTCAGTATGAACCTATCCCTGGTAATTGTTAAAAATTATGTCAGAATGGGGTTAAAAACGTCTTAATTTTTAAAATATTGAGCTTATGCTCATTATCATTAACATATTTTAACTTTTTTTTCCCTTTAAAAATGTCTTTTACAAAGTGTCCTTTAATACACAGCTTTAAAAGAAATGGCAATAAACTATCATTTTCTAAACAAATATTTTTGAAATGAAAGTAGTACTTATTTTTAATCTACTTATTCCTAAAAGAAAAGAAGAAACTTACTGGATTACATCATTTAACCAAGGAAAAAGCCTAGCACAGGTTGTAATTTTAAACTAAAACACTAGAATTCCTGAGAGAACATGTTTTTCTTTATAAAACTTTTAATGTAATACCCATTAATAAGACAATAGAAAGAGGATTGTCATTAAATTTTGCAAGGACCTAGTGACTATATTAAAGAGACTTACAATTTTAAAAGTTACTCAACAAAAAAATGCTTATTGATTTTTCTCGCTCAAGAAAGATTTTTGTAATGGATCATCTGTGTTCCTATTTAGAAGTTTAAAAATTAAAGGGATGTGGTTAAAAAGAAGGAATTCTTACCATTTGCAACAGCATGGTTGGAACTGGAGAGCATTATGCTAAGCGAAATAAGCCAGTCAGAGAAAGATAAATATCACATGATCTCACTCATTTGTGGAATATAATGAACAACATAAACTGATGAACAAAAACAGATCCAGAGACAGAGAAGCGTCGATCAGACTGTCAAACCTCAGAGGGAAGGTAGGGGCGGGTGGGGGTAAGGGGGAGAGATCAACCAAAGGACTTGTATGCATGCATATAAGCATAACCAATGGACACAGACACTAGGGGAGCACGAGCGGGGGGTGGGGGGCAATAGGGGGATAAGGACACACATGTAATACCTTAATAAAGAAATAAATAAATAAAATTTTAAAATATTAAAGGGAAGCAACTATTTTCTAAAAGGATATTCCTATACTAGTATTTTATAGCTAATACAAATCTGAGGTTGTTATATGAGTGAAAGTGTCAGGAGAAAGTGTTGCAGAAGTTTTTGGAGGCGAAATAAACCTATCTAAGGAGAATGCGAATTTGTCGGACAAAGTCTTCCTAGCAAGAAAGAATAAAATCACATGTTTTTTTCAGAAATGACACAACATACTATTTATCATACTTATATTCTAGTCAATAAAAGAGGAAAGCCTTATGAGAAAAGAATCTGATTGGGTTTTGAAATCTTTGAGATGAATTATTTAGGCCAAGCTAAATGTAATTTGCTAGGTTGTGGTTTTTCTTCTAGTAATGCTGTTAACTGATTTGTCACTTTCTCCTACAGACCCACCTTTGTAGACTGTAAATAGAGTCAGGGAGAAGGAGAATGGCCAACTCTCAGGGCTGTCTCTTGGGCAGCCCACTGTAGTGTGAGCCATGCTGTTTAAGGGGCTCCTTAGCAGGACAAATAAATGCCCAGCTCTTCTCAGAAACCAGGCTGTCTCCATTAGCCTGGAAGGTCAGGGTGAGGGCGGAGAGGTCCTAAATGTGATGTCAGATTTCATCTCAACATTTATTCATTGCTAACTTACTATAAAAAGTTTTTCCTTTAATTAGCTACTAATTGAGATGTCTGTGAGTAAGGAAATACCGTCCTGGAAATGGGAGAGAGGCATCAGATGATCTCTGAGTTATTAAGATTTGGCTAGAGGTCACAGCTTGTAACCATTAATTAAAATTTGTCATTGAACAAAAATCTTTAACCTTAAGACAACAGATAGCTTATGGTCTAAGAGTAATTTTAAGACAATAAATTCAGCTTATGGGATTGATTTAATTTGATTTAACTTGTTATATTTATTTTGTGAGGGCAGAGTGCCAAATCTTGAATGATATTTAGCAGATTTTTTTTCAACTTAAATGTATTTCAGTTGTCCATCTGGACTTAGATATTTTAGGTACAAAGACTTTAAATATTTTAAGAACTACATTAAATCTATGAAAAATTCCTATCTATGCTATCTAGAGAAATATTTTCTGAGTCATGGATTAGGATTTAGACTTTAGAGGTAAGTGCTTGTTGTCACCAAATCTCTTCATATAATAAAATGGCTTTAAGTTTCAGTTGACCCTTGTTAAGACTGTCTAGAAAACAGTGTCATTGTGCCATCTAGTGGCTATGTTTCAGGCCAGAAAGGAATAAAAACCAACTGAAATCGAAAAAATATTCCCCGGGTTTCCTCTGCTGGCTCCCACCTGTGCTTATATAATGACAAAACTAAATAGCAGCACTCTGGGAAGTCAGTGTAAATACATATAAAGGTAAGTTCTCCCTAAGTATATTGGATCATCGTAAATGGTCTCTGTCATGTTTATTTCTTTTTATAAAGTCCTAGTCTTATAAAATATAGCTTTATTGTTTGTTAACTTAATGAAAAGAAATTTGGATGTATTTCATATTAGAGACTAATTTTAGAGAACTAAATATTAGAGACTAATACTGACAACTGCTTTACTAATTGATAAAATTTTAGGTTTTCTTAAAAAATGTGATGATTTTGAAATATGCTAGCTTTCCTTTTATCCTTATTTATGGCTTGTGTAGAGGAAGACTACTTGGTCAGCCTTGACCTTGCTTTTTCAGGTACCTGTCTGACCTTCATGCACCGGGTGACCCTGCTTGGCAGTGTATCGGAGCTCAGCACAGATGGATCCTTCAGCTCATGCACAGCTGCAAAGAGGGCTACATACAAGACCTGAAAGGCAAGGCCACTCTCTTCCAGTGCATATACCATTTCATACTTTCACTTTAACACTTAATGATTAAAGGAAAAGAATGATTAGTTAATTTTCTTGATATGTGTATCTGTGGTTTTTGTTTGTTTATTTGTTTACCCCTGCTTAGCTTTATACCCGAGTAACAGAACAGAAAATTCTTTAACTTTATGCCTATTGTTATGGTTGACTGGCAGTATTGACAAAGATTTGGTTTAGGGGGACCATTAAACTTTTGTAAGAAGCAACATGATGTACGAAATGATATTAGCCCTTGATGAAAGCTATTAAGTCCACTTGTTATTTTTTCCAAATATATGTTAAATCCTGCTATGTACCAGCCTCTATGCTAATATCGTATAAAACAGACATGGTCCCTGGAAGAAAGCATGTAATTAACCAAATACAAATGTTTGCCAAGTGATACAAAGAAAACATAATGGTACTATGAGGGAAGGGAACTGAGGAGAATGCTTTAGATGGCTGGTTTGGGAGGGTGTCTTAGAAAATGCTCCATGTTAGCTAAGAGCTGGAAGGATTTGAAGTAGCCTTTTGGGCCCACTCCAGCCTGAAAAAAGGACCAACCTTTGCAGCGACTCTGAGGTAAGTTTGAAGGAAGAAGTCACAGCTGCATTCACAAGCATTGAATGTCCTGAATGCTATGTGCCAGCCACTGTTGGGTGCTCAGGACACAGCAGTCTGTACAACAGACAAGAGCTTGGCTCACATGAGACTTCCAAAATAGCAAGGGAGAGGGACAGGGAAAGTGACTAGTAGAAGGCAGTGTGCTACTTTCTAAGCCTGGGAAGTTCCAAGTGCTGTAGTAGCACTTAGGAACAGCATTTGGTCCAGAATTTTGAGGTCACGAAGGGACATTCTAAGATTTAAAGAAAATGCCACATGTTTTGAGATCTGTGGGGTGTCTGTGTTGGCTGATTGAAATAGAGGTGGGGAAGAAGAAATAGATAAAAACCATTTCAGGAAAAGAAGGCTGCTGAATCCTATGTGGCTGGAGCTTAGAGCATGATTAGAGTGGCTCAAGTTAGGAGGCACTGGGTCCTGGGTGGACTTTTGTTAGCTGCTTCAGGGAATTTGAACTTGATCCAGAAGGTGTTGTAGGAGCCATTAACACGTTAAGCGCCCAGCCTGTTTTGTCTTCCGGATGGAAAGTATAGTGCCAGTCACCAGTGACTGACAGGGCGCTTAATGTGTTAAAGGTTCAAAACAAGGAAAAGACCCAATGAGGTTTATTTTTTAAGAGACGACTGTCTTCCATGTAGTGAATGGATGTAAGCCTGGAGCAGTGAAGCTGCTTAGAAGGCTGCTGTGGCAATTCAGGCATTTCGCCTGGCATGGAGGTGTGGATGTGGAGAAGGGATGGATTCCAGAGCTATGCAGAAACTGGAATACGACCTTGGCAGCTGGTTAGGATGATGGCACCATTTAGTTTAGGGAATCCTAGAGGGGAAAAATGATTTTTCCCTTCTGTTTGGGCATGAAGTGAAGATATTCAATAGATATTTAAAGAGTAAGTATTTGAATATGATCTTCATAAAGGTGGTTCCTGGGAGTTGATGCTTTAACCCACAAAAATTTAAAAAAGGAGCAAACTTAAGATAGAATCCTGAGGAGGGATATTTACAGGGCAACCTGCAAAGGAGAAGAAGAGGGTGTATTCAGAGAGCTAGGAGGGGAATGAGAACATAATGTCGCAAAAGCAAAGAGGAAAGGAGTGATCAGCAAGGATTTTAAAAGAATAAGATAAAGAGGTGTCCTGCAGATTTAGCACTGGTATTGTTGACCTTGACAAATGCAATGGCAGTGGACTGAGATGACAAATAGATTATATAAAAGAAAGCATAGTGATACTTCATAAGGTTTCCAGGAGTAAGTGAAGTAACATGAGAACAGTCCTGACACAGAAGGAAGTACAATGAAGAGGTCACAATTATTTCTTTATAGCACAGTTTTGACATGAGTTGGAGTATTTTCCAGCTGATTCTGTTCTTTTCTAGTTTGATTTTTAGGAAAACCCAAATATCTCTGTTTTGATGCCACATCAAAATTCCTGTTAATGTCATTAATTATTTTGTAGTTTTAGCAAGTAGAAATGACAACAGATGATATACATAGTCCATAGTCTTTGGATGTATTTAGAGGACCTTGCATATTTATCTATTCAATCTATTCTGTTAGGCAAGACTCTATACCAGGAATGGGGAATGTCCACAAAATCATTTGATCTGGCCCTACATTAGGGGTGAGTTAATTAAGTGTTTGATCAAATATAGCAGGCTAATTTTTAAGTTGATAATTTTGTATGGCCCTGGAATGATGATGTTATAAATATCTAAATGGCCATTGGCAGAAAAAAGGTATCCCATCCTTGCCTTGACTGCCCATCAGAATCCCCTTGGTGTTTTTACAAACTATCAATTTTTATCCTCCACCCCATTTCTACCAATTATAGTAGAACCTCTAGTAGTGGAGTTCAGGCATCAGTCTTTTATAAAGCTTCCAGATGATCCAGGTACAGCCAGGCTTGATAATTAGAACACCAGGGACTGGAAATACAGTAGTGAGCAAGACTGACATGACCTCTGACCTCTTGGACCTTGTAGTCTAGTGGGAAAGACATATCTTTTTAAAAATCATGTATTTATTACATAAATATAATTTTGAAAAGTGTTATGAAGTGGGGAGTACAGAATTCTACTCCAGTCTAGTAAGGGGGAGATCGAAGGAAGTTTTCTCAAGGAGGTGATATTTCCATTGAACCCAAATGACAAATAGAAATTATCCAGATAAAGAGGCATGGAGAAGTAGGTTTCAATAAATGACACCTCATTCCCCACTGCACTAAATACAGTGATGATATTCTTCAGATTACAAGCAAGTTACATGATCTGATAAAGGATTTTCCTGCTTATGCCTGTAAGAAACCATCTGTATAATTTGGTTATGAAAATATTTGAATTTCTGGGATGGGTGTATATTATGAGGGCAACATAGAGACTATTTCAGATTGGAAATTATACGTACTTTATTGTCATATCTGAAATACCTGATAACCAATGTTACACTGCCAAAGGTCTGAATTTTTCTTGAAGATAAATGGAGAGCGACTTTTACCTGATGATTCCTTCCATCATCTTAATGTTATGTTTTACTACATGTATTTATCCAGAAATGCTTAAAACCGTATTTCCGGAGAAAAAATGGCAGAGTCCTACTTTTCAATTTCATTCTGACCAAGCTTGTTGTAAAATTTGCTCATCACTTGTGAAATAATTAAAATAATGTAAAATAAATTGGACCCATTTGTTAGTGACAAGCTTTACCTAGTTATTTTCATAAGTTGGTCTTTTGATGAGGAAGTAAAAAATAAACAATCAGCCTGTTAAACTTACTCTACAAGTTTCATGATAAGACAATGTAAACCTTCTAAATTTGTTAGTCAGATGTTGACATTCAGAAGAACATGTTTACCTGTGCCCTCTTTTGTTGTCAGCAAACATTACCAATATAAACAACATGGCTGACCCTAATACATAGGAGCTTTGTTAATTGGAAGATTGGTGTACTCTTTTGAGCTTACATCAGAAGGGGTTTTATTATTTGATTTCGGAGAATTCCAAACATACTTAAAAGTAGAAAGGGTAATATAATAACCTCCTATGTTTCAACAATGATCAACTCATAGCCAATCTTATCTATACCCTTATTTGTTTTTATCCCTTCCATCATTCTGAATTGTTTTTGAAGCAGGTCACATTATTTCATCCATAATTATTTCAGTAAGTAATTTTGAAAAACTAACCAAAACACCATTATCATTATCTAAAATATTATCAACAAAAACAGATCCAGAGAGAGAGAGAACCATTGATCAGACTGTCAAACCTCAGAGGGAAGGTAGGGGAGGGTGGGGGAGAGATCAACCAAAGGACTTGTATACATTCATATAATCATAACCAATGGACACAGACACCAGTGGGGTGAGGGCATGAGTGGGAGGTTGGGGGGGCAAGGGAGGAATAAGGACACATATGTAATACCTTAATCAATAAAGAAAAAAATCAATTGAGTTCTTTATATTATCAAATATTCAGTTAATTTTCAAACTCTGAAGCAGTTTAGTATCTTCCGGACTTAAGTACATTAATACCATGGCTTTTTAACTGATAGTGCAAAGGCAAATGACATAAAATCTGGCATAGATGTAGACAGAACATGTGTTTCCTAGAATGGAAGAATTAGCCATCTGTAAAACATGTCCACTTTGGCCACTTTGCACTTAGATCCTTTTCTGATTGTCTTCATTAATGCATATGTGTCATTGGTTACTTGTTAGCTATTCAATAAACACTTATCTACATTTATACAGATGATGTAGTTACACTATGTAGTATAGGTATATGTGTAGAGGTATATGCAAATATAAAATATTTGCCTTAATGTTAAGTTTGCTGGGAATAAACACAGTTTTTCTTTTATATAATCTACAACCAGTTGTTCATGATGGACTCTTAATTGGTATTTATGAGTGTCCTAATTGTATATAATAAAAATGTAAGGTAATATGGGGGAAAGGCTCCTAAATATAATTTGGACTTTCTGTTGGACATCCTGTCATAATTATTACCTTTTAAATGTGGAAGAAACCTTGGAAATTATTCCCAACAGGTGTTCATTAGATGACTTTAGATCTATTTTTCATGTGAGGAAAGTATCTCAGAGAAGCCAGGTAACAACCCAGCTTCTTCATGTCCTGAGAAGCGACAGAAGTAGTGACTGGCTCAGATTTCTCCCCATCCTACCAGAGTGCACTCAGTGAGGGTAGGACAGCAAGTTCCACAAGACCTCTCTGTATTCTATTGTTGGAGAAAATATTTCCATCAAACAGGATATCTGAATTTGATGAACACGATGGTGACCAGGCCTACATTTCATCTAGCACTTCAGTGTTTTTATTCAGCTATTCTCAG